AAGCAAGTCCAGCCACTACTAATGAATGCCCTAGCCGACCTTCAATTGAGACTATAAACTCACGAATCTGTATCATTATTTCTCCTAATTTACCTCTCTGACATTAAGCTTATTTTTATGTTGATGCCATTGAACTGTAATTCACTGATATTATTATGATTATTACGTACTGCTGAAGAGTCCCAAACCAGGACGAAACAGCTGTCCAGTACTCCCAGGTTTTCCAATGGTTCTCTAACTAATGTCAGCTCATGACGAAATCCTGAAACCAATCGAATCCCTACAAACCAACACTTGAATTATTATTATTATTATTGTTGTCGATTCGACGTTATTTAAACAGCAACACTAATTCATTCACTATTAAGTATATAGAACCTGATGAAGAGCAAGTTATCGCAATGAATATTCTCTATTCAGTAACACCACCGTTTTGAAAAAATTATAATGGGAATTTTTAATCATTTCTACTAACCAATAGTTATTATTCCACTAAAATCTCACTTCAGAAAGCCATTCACTATAATTTACCGTCTAGTGAAAGAATCTATGCGTCAACGAGATACAATCAATGATAAAAATAATTAATATTGTTACAATCTTAACTATCCAATTACTAAACACTCTATAAGACAGACATTCTTGACTTCTCCTTCATCATGCCTACTGACATGATTCATATTTTTATTCGAGTTCTAAGTGAAGTATAAGGCTTTAAGCTTTTGAAGTTTCAGGGATGTCGTTACTTTACGGAGTAGGTTTATCAGCACCTCTGATATAAGAATAGAACTTGTGCACTGTGGTAGAGTAGCAAGCAATACCACCATCTCACCTAGCTTCCCCTCTGTGCCGGGCTTACTACTCCTGTAGGTAGTAAACCGGATGACGTTTAGTAGCGTGTCGGTTGAGCGTCGAACCCGGAGTATATGCGTAGTTATCAATCATCAGCCTACCATTGAAACAACGAAGACGTATGATATGGTCCATAAACACAGGAAAATAATCACAATGTGAGATGATCCTCTCCATTAATGTTTCCTTACAGTCTCGTCAACTCTAAAGTACTGGTATCAAAGATTCAAGGTACACTGTAAAAAACAGCATCCAACCAATCTTTCCAAGATCGCTGCTAACGAAACTAACTACTTACTAGCTAATAATTATTAAGAAACAATCTAGCCTTCAAAATAATAATAATAATGATAATGGATGTAAGATATATTGGTTATATGTTGCAATTTCATTCGGACAACAACTGGTTCACTCACACTTTGGATTAACTTAAAAGACGAAGAAAGAGAGAGAGATATTAGAGTTAATGTAAGTACAGCCACACCTAATTCTACGATTAAAAACCTGGATGATTCTAATGAGTAACCACCACTTATTGAGGATGTTTTCCCCTCCATTTGAATCAACATGTGTACCGCTTCCGATTACAAATTAGGCTGTACTGACTTAAAATAATAAACGATTAGCATGTTTGCTGCTTTTCATTGGAGGAGATCAAGTATTTACTAAGAGAGTTGAAAAACAAACACACACTTTGAAACAGACAACACATTCACATTTAACCTGAATGAACTTGGAGCTAAATCAAGGAGTTTCCTCTCTCTCTCTCTCTCTCTCTATATATATATATATAGTTTAATTCAAACTGGGCTATATGAAGAAAGACATCGCTTTGGCAGGCAGACAACTCGAAGAGGAGCGAATGATTGCCAAAAAAGGCAAATCGATTGTACGTCTTGCTAACAGCCTTGAGAAAGAGTGGACTCTCACATGCTGAAAATTCTATACTTGTACCAAGAATACAGGGTGGAATCAAGCAGTAATGAAAAACGGAAAAAAAACTAAATATTCCCACAGTTCAATATGGCGTTAGCAACAGAATACTCTGTCTATTTGAAAATTCGATTACATGTTGCTTAATGTAAACCAAAATCACATGCTGGCTCAGTGATTGGTTAACGAATATAAACTGTAGATAGATATATAAACAGTGGTTTGATTAGTGAAAAAAATATACCCTGGTTTCTGTGTCTTGCCTTCTGCTCGAAAAGTATAATATTCCACTGACAACCAGTTGAACGTCAATAACACCGTTGTGTTTCTCACCCGGTCTATCTATTGAAAAATAAATTCAGAGATGTTTGTAGAGAAAATGCGGCACACTGGTAGCTGGTAGGATACACTACACTACTGATAAGAATTTATTTCTAAGCGGTATACAGCAGTGCAATGTTTTCAACACGAGTTGCATGAAGAGACGAGCAAGTGGTGATAGTTCAGAGACGAGAAATAGAGAACTTCAGTCATGAAAGTGGAAAGCAATAAAATAAAGAGGAAGAAGAAAGAGAAGTCGAATAAAGTGGAAGTAGAAGAAGAAAACGAGTACTTTGTTAGTATTAAGCGTAATCAACTAATCCTTTCATATGATGACTCCTTCCCGAGAGAATATCGCAATGTACACTATTTAGCGAAACACATTCCAAGTGAACAATATTGTTTTCAATTACATCTCATCAGGCTTAACTCTAATATACATGCCTAACTTTACAAAGAAATAATCAAATATAAACCGATCACGGTGTTTTGTCAATTGGATAATTTTATTTTTTCATTTTTTATTTTTGGTAACAGCTTGATTCCACACTGTATTTTTGGTACAAGTATGGAATTTTCAGCGTGGATATCGGTAGCCCAAATTTCGCAGGCCGACCATAGATATCTGGTGTGCACCGGTGTGGGCTCGAACCCCGGACATGTGCATGGTCGTCGAGAGTCCTAACCACTGTGCCACCGACGCATTGTGCGTAAGATTGTGCATTTAATAATAACAATAATAATAATAATGACTCTATCAATAACAAGGATGAGAAAGTGAGGCTATATCTGGAGACGTCGTCTGTTGGTTAGGTCTTAACAGGCCAACAAGGGAAGGATAATCGTTGTATGAACTTCTTTTGAATGATGAGTTTAGTTTAGAGACCTAACAGTTCGAATGCCTATCGCCTGCCTCAGCTGTGTGCAATAGACGAACCCAGAGTCTGTCGGAAAGATGATTCAGTGGGATACGACGAATTATCTTGAAAGCTCTCGTTTTCTCCACTACATAACCAGTATCAACTAAATGTGATACAATGGAGCTTCTGATTGCTTTCGTCTGTTCTTTGCCAGACCACAATGAAAGATGTTCAGTAGTAGCACACTAAGCCGTCTGGTAGTACGCTCAACATAACTGTCACCATAGGCTGGGTGCAGCTGAGACAATAAATTCACACAGATGTGGCACTATTCCATGCTTTGTGATTGTCAATCTTTCGTCGGCTAGAGAATGACAAACTTAGGTTTGTTGCTTCATACATACTCTTGGAAAGTCTCTGGAATAAACTCTCAGTTGACAGATACACGTCAACATTAAATTGTAACTTAATAAATACAGAGGGTTTTTCGCCTGCAGTCATAGTCACAGTCACCACGTTTTCTCTGCGACCTTTTCATATGTTTTTTTATGAAACTAATCGGATGATAGCGTGTTTCCATCATGGAATTATGAACTATTTATAAACTTACTTAGGTAGGTAGGTAGGTTGGTGTAACGCACCAAATTAGATGCAATAGACAGATGAAATTGTTCTGTCTGTTAACTTTGTGTTAATTGGTTACCTATTGTGTGTGTGTGAATATCTCTTTTTCTTCCACCAAAGGTACTCTTTCTACTACTGGTCATTCAACTAACTTTGTATTCTCCATTGAAGTTCCAACTGATCAACAGCAAAAACACTGGATTCAACGTGGGGTAGCCTTGTTATGCGCGTTGAATTATTAAAAACCCCAGGCTACGAATTAATCAGAAAACAAAAGAAGTTTTCCTGATAGTCAGTCGTATCTCTTCATAGTATATATATTTATACCCACACATAAAATTACCAGTAAAATACCCTTCCCTATAAAAATTCATCATCCCACCACCAACACATCACATATGTAACGAAAGAAGGACAGAGAGAGGGAGAGAGATAGAGATGAAACTGTGATTGTTTTATTTTGGTATACACCAATTACAGACCTATGTAGACCTCTATGTAGAATACACATAAATATCTATGTTTGTGCAATCGGTTGCACCAAGACACATACCTACCTCACACACAAACACAAACACATAAAGGCACAAAAGCCTATTTTACCATCAACTCAACGCATTAATAATAATAATAATCAGATACATTTAATTAATTAATTAGTTAATTGCCTATTTTACACAAAATAACGCCTATTAAATGTATTATTGTACACCAAATATTGTACATCACAGTGTGTTGATATAATGCAAAAAAGAGAATGGCTCAATCATCCCGGAACAAAACAAACACTAAATAAATAAACATAATGACAATAATAATAATAATAATTTGAAGAAGAGTCAATTTCAAGCACAATTTGTATGTAATAATACACGAAGTACACGAATAAATACAATACCATTAATTAATTAATAAATAAATAAGTATATGTAACAAAAACAACAAAACAAACAAGCAATGATGATGATAATAATAATAAATATAAATATATATAAAAATCTGAGTTTTCAACTATGGTGTCTTGTCTGTTATATGCTCCTCACCTGCCCCCCCACACACACACACATACACATACACACATATTCACAAAACACGCGGTAGACGACTAATCTTTGAACTGGAACGGATTACCACACTTCGTATTGAATGATACCAGTGAGTCTTGTTTTTTGTTTTTGTTATTTTTTTTTACCTGAGTTAGATAGAGTCCACTTCACACACACACACCAAACTCACACAGATATATGCACACTCACTCACTCAGTTTAATGCTGAAATTTACAATTGAAACCAGATAGACATATGTGTCTTTTCTAAGGTTTACTTATAAAAAAACAAGGTGGACACAGAGATCGTTAAAGAAGAACAATAATGTCAAACACTATTCAATTCGATAATTGGTAATCGTCATCAATCCAACAACATATAATACACTTCTAAACTATTTATAAGCTGAAGACGTTGTTCCATTGGCCACTGAGGATACCAGATGCGAAATAAGAACAATTGAAATTCGAATACAGTAGATGGTGCATGATCGATTTGTAGATTAGAACTAATCAAGTCTGCAAAGAATATATCCGTCAGTATATCGCTGACATTATCATAATGATTGTTTGAATAAGTCGTTGCTTGTGGTTCACTAGATAATAGGGGATAGATTTCCTCCAAGTTATCCCATATAAACAGGAATAATTGACGTTGTCGATTATTCCAATGGGAAAACCAATGAATAACCATCCGAACAGCTCGAAATGCAGGTATTCTTATATCCATAGAACAAATGATATTCCAAGTAATTTTCAAACACTATAATATTTATTGGGTTCTTGGTAATTACTTAGCTAGTTAGTTAGATAGGTAGAAAAATCAGGGAAAATTGAAAACTAGTTAGTTATAGGCAATATAATAACACCAAATATTTTTTGTTGGTATCCATCTTAATAACAATAAAAAGATACTGCTCACTACCAGAGCGCTTAATGACCCAGACGGGGAGAATTAAAAGGACAATAAGGAAAAAGACAGCGGGAATAGCAGTGTAAGTTGTCGATACTTTAATTAAGTTTTAATTAATCTTCCTTTGCTCCACTAGTTCCCTATACTACTAGTAAATTACGCAGATAGTTATAATGCATAGTTATGCCCACCTGACTGAATTATCGTTCATTTAAAACAAGCTTGGTACTTTATGGGCACCAAGAGATGCACTGGGGGATACTGTCCGGAGGCCCAGACCGAAGCAGGCGGTTATCTTAAGAGGCCAGACGCCTACCGCCTTTTAACTTAAAGTTTGGTCTACAAGGCAGTGAGTGGGGCAGCTACCTACCTTCCCACGATTACCAGTAACCAAAACAAGCTGATACGCCATCAGACACACTCGGATTGTGGAGATCATGTGCACCATAGGTTTGCAATCACGGTATTTCAGCTCCCCTGAAAATGTCCATCAATTCAGTTATAAGCACCAGACGTTTACATTCACTTTTGCGAAGAATACCCGTGCCGCATGAAGGCAGTGGTAGTATGGCTGAGACAGTGAACGAATAGCTACATAAAGGCATTTCGTGAGGAAGACCGACCCACCCTCTGTCGTATCGTACCAGGTTGTTCATGAGAGGTTGAACGGCTGCTGAATGAATCGAAACAGGTAGTTGAAGTCTTGGTCGACTGGTCGGCTCCATGCAGCATCGTCACAAAAAAGTGATGAAGTTTGAAAATGTACCGAAAGATAAGAGTCTGCTCAGCTTAATTCAATACATACATTCAATACACTAGAGAGAAAAAATGTAAGAATAAATGCGTTTACATCTGTCTGTCTGTCTGTATCTAACAAAGTCTCCCAACTGCTTGCTGATTTTTCTTACTTTCAAGAGACAAACGTGCACACAATTCTGACTACTACTTAAGTCCCATTGATTAATTATTTAGGCTCAGGAGCCAGAGTGATTTTGATCTTATAGTCTGTGTGTAAAAGCCAACGTTTTCGTCTAATGTTATCACTACTACTAATACTATACTACTAGTAGTAGTAAGTACTACGACAACTACTAATTATGATAATAACAAAAACGAGATACACAAAAACAAGAGGATTTCGTAGTCACCTACCGTTGTAGACTCTTCTCCTTGCAGAGGACAAATATGAAATTGTTAAACACTAGCAAAATTAATCCAGTGTACAGACAACAGTTGTGTGTCAAAGACAGTCAGTCCCCTTCACTATAACGATACAAAACAAAAAGAGGAAAACACAACACAATGAATAACAACCATTAAGAGATAGATACAAAAGAAACATCAGGTATGGACAACAAACAGCATCATGAGCTAGCAGCTTAGCAAGGATAAGTTGGCACTAGTATCTATCTCTTGCCACCTTCAACAACACGATGCTATGTGGCAGGTAGGTACTCTGTGAGAGTTGAAAAAAAACAAATGTTTCTGTTAAATAATATCACGTTTATTTAGATTGGTTTTTAACAATACCTGCTTGTATGGTATGGTACTGATTCTCATTGTGACGAACAGCTAGCTAGATGATAGATAGTTAAATAATATAAACTATATATAAACAAAAATGATATTAAGAAGCAGCAATCACAGCCAATCACTAGCTTTAATATACAAAACAATTCAATACTCTTAAGTACATTACAATTGGAATTTTAACAAAGTATCCAATATGGTGGAAAACAGTCACAAATGAATATTACAGAATGTCGTGTTAATACAAACAGTAGAAATAGACAGTATTTGAAAGAATCCCGGTGGTTATCGTTAAGTTGGTGGTGGTGGTGGTGGAGGGGGGTGGAGAAACAGAAATACGAGAATAAAAATACAACAAAAATGTATGAAAAGAAATTACAGGTGTTGGAACTGCTGCATGTATGCGTGAGTGGGTGCGTGAGTGAGTGAGTGCGTGCGTGCGTGCGTGTCTATGCATGCATGTACTAGTATGTTTGCAAAATAATGATCACTACTCAAAAATAAGTCAGTGTAAATAGGAGGGAAAAAAGGCATAGGATTGCTTCTCTGTTTCAAAAACAAACAATATTAGCAGAAATCATCTACAATGAAATAATCGTGAAAAAATCTAAGTTAGTCACCTACCTACCTACCTCCTCAATTAATTCACACACACACACAACTAAAAACTAAAATATAAAAATATAAGATATCGCCATCAAAATTGAATTGTGAATTGTAAACCTTCTCGAAGAATTTGATCATAACACGCTTGCAGTGTAGTCATTAGATAGGGTAGGAGACCACCACCAATAAGCGATAAGTGTTCCGGTGACAGTTGTTCAATATACGCTAGTTCAGCGCCCAGGTACATAACACCAACCCAGATGACAACAAATTGAATAATCAGCAATAATTGATCAAGTCCAGGCAGCAAGTGAGACAAAGTATCCACTGAGCATATTGATGGATTTCTACAATTCCCCACCTCATCCAGCGATGTTGGAACACGATTCCGGCAAGGCTTACTTTTACTGATAATCTGTTGTTATTGTTGTTGTTGTTAGCCAACACATGCACACAGATTTAATTGGGTAGGTAGAATAAAAAAGAAAGAGGAATAAAGCAAAATAAGAATAATCGTGTAAACAACACGCGTCAAGTACATACTGTTTGTTAAAAAAGTACATGAAAAGTACATACGAACAGAAAATCTCCTGTTCATCAGAACAGTGTGTCTGTCGTTTGTACGAAAGCACTATCTAATCAAAATCAACCGTAGAAAAACAACACTGATTCAATTGACACGAAAGCAATAACAATAATAATAACTAAATTCAATGAAATACAACATTCTGCTATGAAATCCACATGTGAAGAGGAATCCCAAAACACAATTAACTACCTTTCTAGATGTCCCCTCCTGACAAGAAAACCAGATAGTAGGGCAGTATAAAGAGGAATTTGCACAGCACAGCACAGCACAGGAAAAGCACATCGACCGGACAATATACACATTTTCATAACTTTGCACCTTCCCAGTACAAAAGAAATTCAGTAAAGTTCCTCAGCCACAGGGTCAGAGCTATATGCATGCTCAGTAGAGGCAACTGAAGATCAACTAAGGATTCTACACGAAACCTTAATTGAAAATAGCTATCCAGACAAATTTATCAAGAAACACATGACTAAGATAGCGGAAAAAGACTACTCACTATCCGTAAACAAGAAGCCTTTATGCACACGACTGCAATTCAAGGGCCCTATACCTAGCGAAATTATTATGAAGAACTTAAGGAAATCAGTTCAAAGAACTTTTAATGCTGACAGACTACAAGTCTCATTTTCTACACAACTAGTAGTTATTCCCTAAATGAAAGATGAAGTACCCGGACCAGCTAGCAACTTCCAAATTGTATCTACCAATTCAACTGCACTTGTGATGGAGTGAGTTATACTGGCCGTTGCTCTAGGCACTTGATTTTTTGTGCTCACTCGAGAACATCTCCCCAGTATGGCTAAATAAAGGTGTAGTGGAAACCATCGACAGTCCGATATTAGACCACCGCCTGGTCCAAACCGGCTGGCCGCAAAGTCAGCCAGCATTGAAGAATCTTTCTCCATCATCATCATCATCTATCGGGTACCAAACAAATTACCAAAAACATCCACGTACCGCATACTCCACACGCACACCAGAGGCTATAGCTATCGATTCTCCTACAACAACTGGTGCTCTGTTTGCAGAAGAAGCAAGTCCAGCCACTACTAATGAATGCCCTAGCCGACCTTCAATTGAGACTATAAACTCACGAATCTGTATCATTATTTCTCCTAATTTACCTCTCTGACATTAAGCTTATTTTTATGTTGATGCCATTGAACTGTAATTCACTGATATTATTATGATTATTACGTACTGCTGAAGAGTCCCAAACCAGGACGAAACAGCTGTCCAGTACTCCCAGGTTTTCCAATGGTTCTCTAACTAATGTCAGCTCATGACGAAATCCTGAAACCAATCGAATCCCTACAAACCAACACTTGAATTATTATTATTATTGTTGTCGATTCGACGTTATTTAAACAGCAACACTAATTCATTCACTATTAAGTATATAGAACCTGATGAAGAGCAAGTTATCGCAATGAATATTCTCTATTCAGTAACACCACCGTTTTGAAAAAATTATAATGGGAATTTTTAATCATTTCTACTAACCAATAGTTATTATTCCACTAAAATCTCACTTCAGAAAGCCATTCACTATAATTTACCGTCTAGTGAAAGAATCTATGCGTCAACGAGATACAATCAATGATAAAAATAATTAATATTGTTACAATTTTAACTATCCAATTACTAAACACTCTATAAGACAGACATTCTTGACTTCTCCTTCATCATGCCTACTGACATGATTCATATTTTTATTCGAGTTCTAAGTGAAGTATAAGGCTTTAAGCTTTTGAAGTTTCAGGGATGTTGTTACTTTACGGAGTAGGTTTATCAGCACCTCTGATATAAGAATAGAACTTGTGCACTGTGGTAGAGTAGCAAGCAATACCACCATCTCACCTAGCTTCCCCTCTGTGCCGGGCTTACTACTCCTGTAGGTAGTAAACCGGATGACGTTTAGTAGCGTGTCGGTTGAGCGTCGAACCCGGAGTATATGCGTAGTTATCAATCATCAGCCTACCATTGAAACAACGAAGACGTATGATATGGTCCATAAACACAGGAAAATAATCACAATGTGAGATGATCCTCTCCATTAATGTTTCCTTACAGTCTCGTCAACTCTAAAGTACTGGTATCAAAGATTCAAGGTACACTGTAAAAAACAGCATCCAACCAATCTTTCCAAGATCGCTGCTAACGAAACTAACTACTTACTAGCTAATAATTATTAAGAAATAATCTAGCCTTCAAAATAATAATAATAATGATAATGGATGTAAGATATATTGGTTATATGTTGCAATTTCATTCGGACAACAACTGGTTCACTCACACTTTGGATTAACTTAAAAGACGAAGAAAGAGAGAGATATTAGAGTTAATGTAAGTACAGCCACACCTAATTCTACGATTAAAAACCTGGATGATTCTAATGAGTAACCACCACTTATTGAGGATGTTTTCCCCTCCATTTGAATCAACATGTGTACCGCTTCCGATTACAAATTAGGCTGTACTGACTTAAAATAATAAACGATTAGCATGTTTGCTGCTTTTCATTGGAGGAGATCAAGTATTTACTAAGAGAGTTGAAAAACAAACACACACTTTGAAACAGACAACACATTCACATTTAACCTGAATGAACTTGGAGCCACATCAAGGAGATCCTCTCTCTCTCTCTCTCTCTCTATATATATATATATATATATATATATATATATATATTTATAGTTTTATTCAAACTGGGCTATATGAAGAAAGACATCGCTTTGGCAGGCAGACAACTCGAAGAGGAGCGAATGATTGCCAAAAAAGGCAAATCGATTGTACGTCTTGCTAACAGCCTTGAGAAAGAGTGGATGATGAAAACGAAAGAAATCGAAAAGACATCAAATCAACACTAGATAATATCCACCAATTATTAAGGCTTATAAGCAAGATGCGCCTCACCAAAAACCAGTGATAATCACAACAACACCTTTGAAGCTTATATTTCCACAGCTTTTAAGAAGAATCCGTTCGAACATTCAATTTTGTACGACTGAACCCACCCAACATTTAATGGATTTTGACAAACGCTGTAAAGGCAGTCTTTAATCTGAAACCAGCTAATGCAGAAGGCACTGATAATTTAGCCTCGAAAGCTGATACAGAGTTATTCATTAGACAATAGACATAAGTATTAACCAAAAGTAGATAGTTAGTTACTCAATACCGTGATAAAAACAGATGATCCATCACCTTGATATTAATACTGGCATGAAAAATAAAGAGCTCATCAAGGAAAACAAGACTGAGAGAACTTCCCTACAGAAGATTGTTGATCAAATCTTCGCTATCCGACAGGTCCTACCTCATACATAAAACTACCCACCGACAGGCGATATTTGTCATATCTCCCAAGTTCTAAGCGAAGATTGAATCTCATTAGTCTGAAGTGGTTAGAAGATGTGCAAAGAACGACGAATCAAAGCCTTTCTCAAAGAGCAAAGCAACCAAGACCAGAGGGGAGCGGAGAAGACAGGAATAGTACAAATTGAAGATATCACCCACCCCCACCCTCGAACACTTAGAATCGGCTATGTAGGCACGTTTCAGTTGCGTGTCTAGGTGATTATCAGAATAATTAACTACAGAAATTAGGATTATTTATTTATAACAGCACAAATATATTCACTTCTTATTATTATTATTTTCTAACTTCAATAAACAAATAGCTAAAGTTGATTAAAATTAATTTCTTTTCCTACTTCATATCCATGTTTGTTCATTACATACAGTAAGACCGCATTTTTTTGTGCTTTCGATAAATTCAGCCAACTTGAACCAATGGAAAATTCTGTGCAAGGTGCTTCATTGATTCATTTTCTATCATTATAAGAGTAGTGTATCTTAGTGTGTGTGTGAATGCCAGTCTCAACGACAAAACCTTCAAATCTCTACCCCCTTAAGAACGAATATTCCAACTAAGTGAATTCATCGATCCTAGACCGGTTTCTATACTAGCTGACTTGTACACTCATAACCAACGAGTAATACGTTAGACTGGATACAAGATAGGAAGACAGTGTTAGTACAAATTGTAAAACAGGTTGACAACGAATCCATTCAACTCAAATGACAACAATCAAAACAGACAAAAACTTGAACTACCTGATTCTCAAAGTTCTTTTGTAGTCCATATTTTTTAATAACTTTTCGTTAAAAACAAAGGATAACTATAGGAAGACTGTTTCAAACAAAGATTTCAAGAGTAATAGGACGAAAATAAACTAGGGAAAAAGTTAACAATAAACACAGGACCGCATCAATTATTTATGTAAGTGCAACAAGTGGTTAGTGGATCTCATGGAATCAAGCTAATTTAGGTTCAGGTGGCTGGCTGGCTAGTCGCTACTTTTACGAACGGCATATGTGCGTGCTTCAACTGAAAATACGTCATCCTGCTCTAAACAAGAAAGGAATTGACATGAATGTTATCGGAAAAAGAAAACATCCAAAAACGAGACTTAACGTTCAGATTTTAAGGAGTATGACACTATGCGCAGTCTGTCTTTTGACCTATTTCTGAAACTAGAGAAGAAGACAGACGTTTAGCGCAATTTTCTAGTTGCAAGTAAAAAAAAAATTTAATAGGCATGCACAGCGATAGAACATTGATAGAATGCTTATCAACAACACACACACACACAAGTGGTCCGGACTCAACCCTCGACCGACGGACGCATTCTTAAGCATCGCTTGACCACCGGTAAACAGTAAAGGCTAGTGGTTAGGCGTGAGACTAGCGATCCCATCCTGTTGTAAAACGACAACAACATCACCGCTACTGAATCTTCAAAACCCGAAGCGCAAATATTCCACTCGGAATGCATTACATTATTGTTATTATTATTATTACTCCTTTGGGTTCCAAGTGGAACATACGGCCTCAACAAAACATCTTCACTGTGTTCTATTTTCTGCTGTCTTTTCCAACTGGCTGACCCCCCCCCTTAATTGCCCCTAATCTCTCATCTACTCCTACAACTCAAACGATCTTCTACACGTCACCCTCGCAGCGACGACCAACTCGTCGTTCCCTATTGGCATTCCACTCAAGCAATGGCCTCGGGCTCCATGTCATTCAACGGTCCTATCAACGCATGCCCCATCCATCTCCTCCTACATATTTCTTCGGCGATTGGCTCTTGGTTGGTTTGTTCCATTGCAGAGTTTTTGTTGCTAATTCTTTCTGGTCGGCTGGCTGACCATTTGTTCATCAGTATGAAGCGAAGGAATGCATAAAGAATGGACAAGAAAGGCAAACGGTTAATACGCAATAACTTACCTGATCCACAGTAGCAAATGTCTGATAAATAATTAGAAGCTTTTCAGTTGCAGTAGTTTTATCACTATGAGAAGGAAAACACATAACAGTTTAAGTTGAACTTCAATTCTTTAGAACAAAACAAACAAGGTTTATGATATTCTTTTTTAAACGAGCGGCGTTAAAACAAGTGATTGATGAAGAAAGCAAATTTGGAAAACTTTTCTATTCTCACAGACATTTGATTCGAGTCTTGTCTGAACAGAATATGTAAGTACTTTTCATATTAGTGTAAGCATGTCTCAAATTTGAGTAATAGGACAGTCTCGTTTAAAAAAAAATTCAAACAGAACATGTCACGGTTTACTGGAAATATGCCAAACTAGCTTCGTCGGATTCTACTAATGGTGGAAACAGACGAAACATCGAGAGACGCATCATTTAGAAATGCCTTAAAATACATGTGTATGCCTCTCTCTCTCTCTCACTCTTTCTTTAACCCATCATTTATGAAACCTGTTTAGAGGGAGACGGGTTATATACTTAAAGTCTGTGGAAGCCTGAGTAATTTAGGAAGCTTCAGCCACCGTATTACGTGTCCACAAACAATTTGTCATCATGCTAAACCTTCTTTGATAAATCCAATCCAGTTTACAACCAAAATCGATGCATTATCATCCTCAAATATCTTTTAACTTTGGTAATCTTCACTGTTATTTTCACCTTCAATATAACCTTTTATTTGAATTATGTTCAGTGTCTTGTCTGTTAACGTTTCATCATATTATGCATATATGGGTGGATGCCTGTGTGTGTGTGTGTGCGATCCAATTATTTGAAATGTGTTGCGCAAATATATTACACAACTCAGACAATTGTATGTCGCCAAAGGAAACTAAATTATCCCCAAAAACCGAAGTGATTGTAGTGAAATCATGAACTAGACAAGCAGACGGGGTATCAATGCTCATTTGGTAGATAGTTAGACTACTAGTCTGATTACCAATCCAGGTTTTCACATCACCTTCAATAACTACCCAGTACATGCTTTACGAGCTCTCGTTGTAACCGGAAGGTCCTGGGTTTGAACCCAAGTGGTTGCGCACTACTGAGATGAATAGTAGTAGTCTTAAGGTGGGACGAAACAGTTGTCCCGTAGTCCCAGGTTTTCCAATCATTGTCTAACTGATGTTAACTCGTAATCAAACCTTAAGAAAAAAAACACTAAGCATACACACACTACAAAGAAGGGGCCTAACGTTACAACAATAAAACAAAAAAGTAACTTGCATTTTTGTTGACAACAGCCACAATTACAAACAAATGGGCTATTAGCAATTTCAAGAACGTAATCTGACACTTTCACACCACCTCGTAGATTCTGTTATGCAATAACAATTTCATTCATATTTTATTTGTACGAAAATAAAGGTGTGAGCCAGGCGGTACACAACCTTAGGGTCACATGACCAGTAGCAATCAATAAAGAGCACCACTACTTAAAGTCAACTGGATCCGATAGTTAAAAAAACAGTGTGATTTACATTTCATATGATCGATTCATTTTGGTTTCATAGTCAGACTATCATTGTAACCAACTCGTAGTGTCCTCTTGCAGCATACTTTATCTAGGAACGTTAGAATGTATGTAGTCGCTAGAAAGAGTTTGAAAAAAGCGTTTGAAAAACCAATCTCTCTCTCTCCATGTAATAAGCCAATAACAGTTACAGTACTCGGTTTACGCCTGTTGTGTCACACACAAACAGACACATACAAACACTACAATACGATTATGAATATTCACACTTAACATAGAGTAGGACAATATAATAAAAGCAGTTTTTTTCAGTGCAGTTGCCGCTGACCTGATGCTTTTTATGCAAGTCAGAAGATGTCCAGGACGGCTACTGTACTGTACTGGTAATGTCATTGACTTCAGCATGGAATGAATGAAGCAGGGTGGAACCTCCCTCAAAAGCGGTATGAAAATCCTTCAGACTTAAAATATTTGTTGCTGATGTGTTCCAGTAAGGTGAGGTAAGGAAAACCAAGTAACGCAGACAGACAGAGAGAGACAGAAAGCTTGCTGGTCAACAGAAGGTTAGTTCTAAATGCATTACGACGACAGACATAAAATGGAAAATTTCGACAACAACATGAAAAACTGAATTTACTAAAAAAAACAACAACAACCTGTACAACAATTGTCTGTCTGTCTGGCAAGTACATAACACAGTGTTACTTGACTGCAATGTGACAGACGAAAAATAAAGTAAAGTGGAAATATCAGAGACACGTGCTGAAAGAAAAAAAAGGAACCGGAATGTCTTCTCCTACCAATTGAGGTGAACTAGAAACAAATTCATACTATCTGCATACAACAAGTATTCTTTTCTTGGACAAAGCGGTCGAAGTTTTTTACAACGACGCTTACAAGAAACATCGAGTATGTTATTTGCCAGGAATGTGTGGTAGGAAAAATCCAGTTGTTGTTAATCACCAATAGTGCCAGTTGTTGTTGTTCTCATCTTCTGGATATTAATTACACACTTCACATGAATTAAACGCTCTAAAAACACAATAGTAATAATAACAACAACAATTACTCGGCACTGAGTGCAGAAGTATACGGTTCAGAGATTTGGCGCATGCGTCATCAAAACCATTTCCAACAGGTTACCACCACCACCGCCACCAACACATACTTTCATCAGCAACTGCCCCCTTCTCTCGACACTGTTCATGAGACAGTCACCCGGAGACGATAAGTTTGCCCTAAAGGACACTAACAGAACTTACCAAATCCTACGAAGAATATCTACAGCTGGATGAAAGGCGGAAAATTCTTCGGATAATGGTGTCTAAACAAAAAAAGAAATAATCACATGACAGCGAATTGTATATTAGTGAGTGAATATATATATATATATATATATATATATATGTACAACGCTGATGACAAAATGGAAGCCTTAGTGTCACGATAACATCTTCTCCTCTCCCTCACTACGTCATTTTTACCTTGTTATAGTTTATAATGGAAGGCAATGCTGTTTACTTGTGTATATACAAAACATCTGACTAAGATTTCTATGTAGTGCAGCTTAGCAAGATATGCAACTGCTGGTATTAAGACTAAATGTAACACTGATTGCACAAAAACTCATGGTACCGGAGAGATAGATGCTGACAGTCTAAAGAATGTTACTAGGCTATAGATTCAAATACACTGCAAAATGACCAAATTCAAATTCCAGTTCACTTATCAACCTACCTATGCAGTTGTTGAATAGCAAGCAGCTTAGCAATCCCTGTCGTCTTTTTGTTGTCAGTGTGTAGCTGTATGAAAACGTTGTAGACTGACTACTAATAGTCCGCTTAAACTATCACCGAAGTGATTACAGATACAAACAAGATTAAGAGGATCATAGGCAAGTATGATATGAAGATAAAGTTCCGTCCACCAGGGACAAGAAAAAATGCATGCATACATGCATGCAACGACAGATTTACAGTTCAACCATAGAAGCACCAGTATCCATCTATTCTACAACGAATATTCTCTTTAACAGGCAACAGACATTGTTTACTTACCCAAATCACTATGGAAAATAATGAAGTCCACACACATACACACACACAAATCAGAATTTCCAATCTGTTTTTAAAAAATATCTACATGAAAAATAATATGACGCCGACAAACATAACTGCACTATGGACAACAAGGTACATGCAAATTGATTCACTCACACACGCTACAACCAACTGCAATCTGAACTCAGTAAAGGACGAGTTCTACCATACACTGTCTAGTTGGCTGGTGAAGGCCAAACACTCAGATACAGTTATTTTAGCATGTGATTTCAATACTCACGTTGGTAAGCTATGTAGGTGAGAAAAGTATATTGGCTGTACCTTTGGAGTCCCATACCGACGAGAATTGATAATGGCGGTTGTCCACTCTACAGGCTTCGATTATCACCTGTTACTCGTACGCCCTAACTTCACATACAATGTAACAAGACCTTGTCTAATATAGTGACTTCCATCATCAAATCAACGATGAACTGAAATAGGTCCTGTGGCTATTTATAAGATGTCGGTAGAAGACCACCGCTCTTTCTACAACACCTGCGTAAAGACTCCGATCCCGCTCTGGCTCCTACACGTATATGCCTGCGACTGAACAAACATAAAACACAAGGAACTATGATGCTCACACGCCTCAAAACGTGATTAAAACACGAAGTCTATAATCAGGGAAGAAATATCCAAATGCATACGTGAGATTGACAGCTACACTCATCCTACACCCATGAAATCTTCATATTTCTCCTGTATATTTCCCTATACTAAGGTTCTTTTGATTACTTTTTTATTTCCTCTACTTTTATGTGCTACACGCAATGTAGCAGCCTCAAGTGGAAGACTTCTGTGCAAAGTTCTACGTTCAAACTCAGCCAATCAGTTTGATTCAATCAGGATTCGGGTGGCTACTGTTAAATTACTGTAGGTGAACAACACTGGTCTGTCTAGTTAGCAAACAGTCATTTAGGAGTAATTTTGTGGATGCTGACTAGCAGTTGAATCCAGGATGGGTACTTCATCCTCTACTTCAGTACTCGCTACCTGGATTAACCTGCAATCCCAGTAAGTGATGATGTTCCCACTCAGGCTCAAACCCAGTGAACCCATCCTTTCAAACTCAAAATCGTTATCCACTAAAACACTTGCACGACGAAGCCTCCATACTAGAAGCCAAACACTTCGGTTCAAAAAATCATTATCAACGAGAAAACCAAAACTGAATTTAAAACAAGTAATATTTCAAAAAACTGTGATCATTTTTCTTCGCACTTACTTGTCTAATTCAAGGTAGGAATAAAGCACAAAGTCAGATTTACAATGTAAAGCTTGACGGTAAACCCAATAGGATTTATCCAGCATAGCGTATTGTGCTTTAAATAATCCAAATAAAGTTGGATAGATATTCGGTAAGAGACAATCACAAGCCAATTCAAATAAACTGATTGATCTGAAGATGAAACGAAGGCGGAATTAACTGTACACAATCGATCTTAGGTGTCTGCGTTCTATCTCCCGTGTAAAATAGTATAATAAGGTGTGCAACATTCAGGTGAGTGAGGGGGGGCTGTGAAGTTACATTGACTGAGATGGTTAGGACATGTGTTACGCATGCATTTCTAGCCATCGCCTTACTCGACGGGCAATGTTAGCTGGCTGACATAGAGGGTCAGGTTGGAAAAGAGCCAGCCAGTGGTGGTCAAACCAAAACGTGGCTTCATCAGTCAATAAAATCCATAACAGTTGGCTTAAGCCAGTTACACAGGGAAGTGTAGACTTCCTTGTTTGGGTTCTCGGGACGGTAAACACCAATGAAGGCTGGAGACGATTGGTGATATGGCTCAAAATCGTTGTCAATGGCTGGCCCAGATGCATCCACTCCCCGTGACTCATGATTCCCAAAGAAACTATATTGTTCTTCGTTATTACTATTCTTTTTACCTCATATCTCTGTTTACTGTCACTATTTTGCATTTGCTGTTACTTTCTTCTTCTTTTCTTGCTTCGTGTGCTACATGGAGTGTGGCGACTCGAACTTCTGCACATCGGTGCAAAGTTATATGCTGAAACCAGTCAGTCAGTGAACAATCGGAAATATATAAGGATAAGCAGAAGATAACGAGTGTGTCGGTGGTACAGCAGTAGAATGTTTACCAACTATGCCAGTGGTGTGGGGATCAGTCCCCGGCCAACGAAATCCCAAACCTCACTCAGTTGGTGATAAGCCAGGCGAAAAGGGAAGGTTGCACGTGAGACTAGCAACCCCATACCGTAAAAATGAAACCACTGCTACCGAAACTTCAAAGCTGTAGATTGAAGCCCTATGTTCCACTGGGAACGTAAGGGAATAGCATTTTTTAAAATAGAAGCTTATGGAACAACCATGAACATAAAAATCAAAGAATTGACTACATGAAACGCCTAATACTTTCACTGATGCGTTCGCAATCTAACATAAGGTCTCAGCAGCACGTCTCCATTCCACTCGATTCTCTGCCATCCCTCCCTTTCAGCTGGCTGAATAACTTTTCACAAGCTTTCATTTTCCCCAATACGCAATAAGGCATAGCAGCATCACCAACAGTACAGTATAAAAAAGAGTCAATCATAAAAGTGAGGCATAAACAGAATATTAAGGCTGTAAAGTTCGAGCAGAGAGAAAGAAAGAAATGCATAACGTTTGAATTCAGGCCACGTTGACAAATACCCCTTCAGAAGTGGCGAAGACCACACACCGCTTGTCACCAGGAGACGTTATCCTGTTTATACCATCATATGAGGAGACAGACGGAAGAGCGTTAACACTCGAGAACTTCAAAGATGTACACATTGGGATAAAGATTTCAGCGCCAAGACACAACAAGACAACGACTGAGAGAGACAGAGTGACACCAAAATGGTCTGAGCTACTCCACCCAAGAGTTTTTGACAGGGGAACAAGTGTGCCGCGTGTGCTACTGGAAACATTCTAAGCAATATATTGTGTGTCATCTGCAAGATGTTTAAATAGAGAAGCGACAGATCGAATAGCGAGGATGGGGAATGAAAACCCTTGTGAAGCAGTAAACAAAGAAAGCATGATAAGAAAATAAAAGAAATCAACAACTATGAACAACTGTGAATGAGAATTTCAATCTAAGGCTTTTGTGTTTTGCAAGACTTTGAATATCATCTCATGATATAAACAGTTCTGTGTTAACCAAGTACCCCTGTGTTCTGCCGTTACAATACAATACAATACAATCTAATCCAAACAACACAGTCTTATCATCTATGAAAATATAACTTCTGTTTAAGAAAAGCAAAGAAAGAAATAAACGACCAGAGAAGGTAAACAACTTAATAACGAAAAAAAATAATAATATTCTAAACTAACTTGAAATAAATGATTGACATTATCAATTTGAAGCACCGGTATAAATGCCAAGTGCCGAATTGAGTTTCTGCTGTATAGCTTGAGCAAAAGTATGCGCTAATCTAGCGACAAGATGAGCATATTCACTAAGAGCTAATACAAGTTGTGTATGTATTATTGAATAGTTTGGATAGGGAGAATTGAATTGAATTGATCCACCTCAGTTGATTGATGATGATGATGACACGATAACTGTTTTATACTGTTTATTGTACAAGTTATATGAAAACAATCAGCCAATAGTGAACTGATTAATCGTAAGTATTTAAGCCATAAAGGTGAAGATGTAGGGATTTTCAATACAGGCTGCTGTAGTGTATGCAGCATTTCATCTGAGTGTAGTTCATTCAGCATATTACACAATAATTCATCAACTGAGTTTACTGCTAATCCTCCAAGACTAGTAGGCAAGCACCAGTTGGCTAACTTATTGATTAGTTCAATATGCTGATGATATTTATTGCTTTGTGGACTAATTACGTCATTCGATGATGCATTAGATGCATTGTCCAGGGATACACATTATAAATACAATGTACATAAATACGCATATGTGAGTATAATTAATCTCCTTTTGGAAAGAACAATCGATAAATAAGCTGGTGTTACAAGAGTAATTCATACTTGCAAACCATTGCGTATTGGATAGTGAATTAGTCAAATTGGAAAACTGAATGACAACAAATGACACAGACAGATCAACTGAGGTTTATCGAAGTCACTCGACCCCCCTGCCTGCCTGCCTACCTACATTATTATCTATATGTTTAAAAATAAGGCTAGCAATCAATCCTGTGAATAATTCAATTATCAAAATACTATAATCTTTTCATATCTTATTCTAACAGCTGTAGAGCGGTCCAATAACCTTTGTAACGTAGTCAGATATCTTCTAGCCGCTATAGAAAATGCATACTGAAAAAAAAACGTGTACATGATACTACGACAGAAAACAAACTGTTTCGTCCTAGTTCGGGACTCATCGTTAGTACACACCCACTGCCAGGGTTCGAGCCCAATGGGTGTTGCTCGATTACAAGGCAAGCTCGTATACTGTTCAGCCACTGGGACCCAATTCGATGGCCCATGTATTCTAACTCCCACCAATTCGTGATATTTAGCGCGAACACCAACCAATGTCATCGGCGGGTCCCAGTGGCTGATTGGTAAACGAGATCGCCTTGTAACCAAAAAGTCCTGAGTTCAAACCTCAGTGGGTGCGTACTCCCGATGAGTCAAAAACTAGGGTGAAATAGCTGTCCAGTACTCCATACTGGTTTTCAAAAGTTTTCTAACTGATATCAAACCTTGGTCTAACCTGAAACAAATACAATCCCTACAGACTAATTCGTGAAAAGAAACCAAACTGATGTTCACATGACAATCTAATGAACACTTGATATAATCTAGATTTGTCATAATTTAATGCACACTTTATACACACAAGTGGAGTGATACGTAAACAAGTGTAAACCAAGATGAGATGCACATTCTCTAATTCATCATTAATATTACTTACAATAATAACAACAACAACACAAAAGTGTTTAGTATAGCTGAAAAGGGATGATTAGAAGAAGAAATGCAAAAGTAGTAACCTTTAATTATTTATACATTATTAATAATGAACTTACAGATGTCAAACTGTTCACATAGTCTGTCAAACATGACGATGAAGTAAAATTGAATAAGTGCATAGTGTTAATGACACAATTACGGAATAAACTATCCCAACGCAAATGAAATGGAACTGTATAGGAGGAGATTAATCTAACGAAAATGAAAAACAGAAAAAAATAGAATACTACTACTTCTACTATAGTTTCATTAGTTTTATTTCCCCTGCCTCTTTTATATGTGTTTTTAGAAAACGTACATGACAACCAGAATAGGTTTGATTTTGTACAGAGTTCTAAGTTAATAATTTAACAAATTTGAGATACTATGGTGTTCTGCAATGTGACTACGAAATATGAAGACCTGATTCATAGAATAACAGCGTTTACTCCTCAAAAATCAATCAATCAACATATTCAATGGAATCTTACAGGAGGTAAACTGTGTGCGTCGGTGGAGCAGAGGTACAGTGCTCACCAGTCATTCAGGTAGTCTGGGTTTCGATTCCCGACCGACGCAATCTCTAATCTCACTCAGCTGGAAATAAGCCTGAAAAGAAGGAAAGCTTGGGCGCGAGACTACGTATCCCACCCCGTAAAAATAAAACCACTCCTACCGAAACTTCAAAGCTCTAGCTTGAAGCTCTATGTTCCACTGGGAACGCAAAGGAATAGAAAAAGGTCAACTACCGACTGAATAACTCCACAGTAACATCTCTGACTCGAGTACTGGGTGATAAGGATTCGAATCTCCAAGGTGGACATTAATTCCTTCTGGCTTGTGGATATTTCTTAATTAAAATTGTCATTGTACACGAAAACCTCAGCGTCCTAAACCTCTCCTTCTGACTGCTTCCAAAATCGAACATCACTTCAAAGTGACAGTATAAGTCTATCTTGGTCTACTTACCTTTACAAGGTGTTATGTACTGCTGAGTAGTTAATTGTCCTAACGCGAAAACGGAAAAAGACTGCCACGTCCACGATGATGCGTGTATTTTCCAACCAAGGAAATTATCTGTCACATAAGTGTGTGGGTGAAAACGTACGTACCTGTACGAAAGATATGAAAGAGTGGGTAAAAGTGTACAGTGCAAGGGTATATAAGAAAATGACAAATACACATGAACCAATAAGTAGTTTTTTCTTCCCATCATTGGATTCTGATTGGTTGTAATGTCATATGACAAAAAGGTCATACATACATTAGTAAAATATTTTAGAACTAATCCATCAAATCTTGACAGTTCATTTGAAGGTCATACATTGTTTATCTAGTTAATGGACAGACAAGCATATTGTGAGTTATCATGGCATATCGATCAATATGCATACACACAGCAAATATAGGAAGCATCAGACTGTCAAGACAAAGTAGACATCATGTGACAAGGTCCTCCCTCAGGTAGTCGTTAAATGAATCAATGTTTATGTGTGAAAAATTATGCTTAGGGAAGGAATAGTGAATTGTAACTCAAATTAACCTGAGTACATTACATCTTAAACTGTGCGCATACACCACTCTCTCACTACTCAAGATGTCAGCTGAAATGTATGACAGTTTATAAATGATCAGCATATCCGAACTAAAAACACTCCTAATGCATCGTTCATGAGCCTTATCACAGACAAGCGGAATGGTCTTTTAGCGTTTTTTATCGCCTTTATCTTGTGTGCGTGCGATTTTCAACGCCACGCAATAGTACAAGGTGTACACATAGTGCATGAATCTCAGTATTATGGTGCATAATACACCCCCAAATACATTCAAATTTGAGAAAAAAAATTTTTAATTTGGATAATGTTTATTCACCTTGTCCCTACCCTATAAAAACAAAATACATATACTGTTTTAATTCCGGTCTTTACTATTATTGTTATTATTATTACTGCCCCCTTGCGTTCCGAGTAAAACGTAGGGCTTCAACAACACATCTCCACTTTGTCCTATTTCCTGCTGTCCTCTTCATCTATGCCCACGATTACCCATAATCTCTCATTTCCTCCATGTGTCACCCACTCGTTCGGATTCCTCTAGAGCGATCGATGGTCAGGTGTGCGATCTCATTCCAGTCTTTATTTATGGTGTCATGCTTTTGTTTACAGTTTAAAAAAAATCAGCATTTTCAGATTTTAAAAATAAAAAATAAAACACAAAACTTTCTCATATCTAAATTTCATGTGATTTTATCAGCCCAAATGGGTGTTTGGTAAATGTAGTTATCCGGTTTCTATCTACATTGACCATATGATCCAGCCATGTTGAAACTCCCAGTTAGAAATGAGAAACTAGACGAAAAAATAATAAAGTGATATTGAGTTTACTGAAATAAATTGTAGAGGAATAACTGAATTGAGGCTAGTGAGACAATTGAAAACTTCGACATCTAGGTGTCAATAGGTGAGGATATAGGCTATTTCGAGGTGTTTTCACACTTAGCATACCAAACGGTACAAAATGATATTCCAGCTGTGAAAAAAAATCGGTAAAGCACCTTTGAAACAGCTAAATGTAACATCTAATACGATTACAGAATCCCTCTGAGAACATGAAATCAATGAATGAAGAAAGTTGAATCGCAATCGGCTGACTACCTGTTCTATCTGTTCGAGTATACTGATGTGAAAGCGTGATAGGTTTACAACTGGCGGATGGTGGCTAGCAGTGGAATCCAGGATAACGTACATTTCATCCTATTTGGGACTCGTCGTCTGGATGTACCTGCATCTCTCATTTGACGAGTCCCAAATAGGACGAAATGCGCGTTATCCTGGATTCCACTGCTAGCCACCATCCACCAGTTGTATACTAATTAAATGCCCAGACATTGTCGAAGCATCTGCACAAGAAGCCGACATGACAACCTGAGACCGAGGACTTCGGTCCAATCAGTCGACGGGAAAATCAAAAATTCAATTAAATAACAATAAGTGAAACAATCTCTGAGAAATTTCTGAGCCACCAATTTAAACTACTTCTCGGAACCCATCCAGAGAGTTGTAATGGTACCAACTGGCGCTAAACTAACACAAATATCTTTCATCACATGACGTCACATCATAGGCTGACCAACTCAAAGCTATTCCCATCTAGTCACGGGAGTAGCGAACAAAGACTGGGGTAAGGATGACCCTGGGATGACATTCGTAGCACATTCGTAACACAAACTACTGAAAACGATATTTCCAGGTGACGAAACTCAATATATGGTGACCGCGTCTATGCCCAAACACATGCAGCCAAACCTCAGAATAACTCACACGATGATACTATCGAACTCAACCAATTCTATGGAAACAGTAATGATTGAATACGCAGAGTAACCGCACATCTTCAGCCAGCTTTCACAAGTGTACAGCGCGATTAAGCACCGAAGCATTGCAAACCCGACCTACGAGAAACAGGCCCACTTGGTGTATGTCACCCTAGCTTTCACTAAACGTTTAGAGATCTCGTCCGACATACATGCCTCCTCAGCCAGCAATTAACACAAAACTTATGCTAGCCTGGAGGGATCGCTTTAACAATATCAACTGATGCATGAAAGCAGATAACACAACTTTAAAACACTACAATTTTAATCGCCTTTTTTATTTTTGAAAAATCTTGGTTTTGAAAAACATTTTTACTGGGGGATAAAATAATTGAGAATCATAATTATAAAACTGTGAGGCAGTACAGTAACTCCTCATTAAAAAAGACACTGCGAAGTGGTCGCGCTATCTCATGAATTCACA